AAGCCGAGGCAGGAGAATTGCTTGCACCCAGGAGTCGGAGTTCGTGGTGAGCCAAGATCGTGCTATTGCACTCCAGCCTGGGCAACAAAAGCGAAACTCTGTCTCAAAAAAAAAAAAGAAAAATGGGGCCTGGTGTGATGTGGTGGCTCACGCCTGTAATCCCAGCACTTTGGTTGGCCTAGGCAGGCAGATCACTTGATGTCAGGGGTTTGAGACCAGCCCAGCCAAGATGGTAAACCCATCTCTACTAAAAATATAAAAATTAGCCAGGTGTGGTGGTGGACATATAGCAATTCAGCCCCTACTCGAGAAGGCAGACGGGAGAATCTCGCTGGAACCTGGGAGGCAGAGGTTGCAGTGACATCACACCACTGCACTCCAGCTGGGTGACAGCGAGATTCTGTCTTAAAAAAAAAAAAAAAAAAATTTTTGTAGAGACAGAGTCTCACTATGTTGCCCAGGCTGGTCTTAAACTCCTGGCCTCCAGCAATCCTCCCACTATGACCTCCCAAAGCGCTGGGATTATACAAGTATGAGTCATTGCACCAGGCCTACACAACCCTTTTTCCATTGAGGTACCACAACCTGACCCACTTCCCCTGGACCTTGAGTTGGAAACGGCTCCTGCTGCTGTGAGGTCTGGGGGTTCAGTCCCCACCCTTTTTTTTTGAGCAGTCTTATCCATCACCCAGGATGGAGTGTAGCGGCACCTATCTCGGCTCCACTGCAGCTCCGCCTCCCGGGTTCACCCATTCTGGGCACTATCTCGGCTCACTGCAAGCTCCGCCTCCCGGGTTCACCCATTCTGCTGCCTCAGCCTCCCCAGTAGCTGGGACTACAGGCGCCCGCCACCGCGCCCGGCTAATTTTTTTGTATTTTTTTAGTAGAGACGGGGTTTCACCATGTTAGCCAGGATGGTCTCGATCTCCCAACCTCATGATTCGCCCACCTCGGCCTCCCAAAGTGCTAGGATTACAGGCGTGAGCCACTGCACCCAGCTGGCACCATCCCTTTTCGATCCTCTACATCCTGCCCACACGGTGGCCACTCCTTCAATCATCCTAAATGCGCATTTCCTGCTGCAGCTCAGACCTACCCACAGCCGACAGCCTGTATCAAGGCACCACAGTCTGTCACCTGGACTCAGATAAATGGATCCTTTTTTAGGATCCCTTTATCTAGGATAAAGAAGGATCCCTTTATCTAGGATAAAAGAGGATCCCTTTATCCGAGTCCATTCCAGCTTGCCCTGTTCCACTTCAATTCTCCTTCAACATCCAGAATGAGTATTTTTTTATTTTTATTTTTTGAGATGGAGTCTCACCCAGGGAGGCCCAGGCTGGAGTGCGATGGTGGGATCTTGGCTCACTGCAACCTCCACCTTCCAGGTACAAGCAATTCTCCTGCCTCAACCTCCCAAGTAGCTGGGATTACAGGTGTGAGCCACCACACCGGCTCATTTTTGTGTTTTTAGTAGAGATGGAGTTTTACCATGTTGGCCAGACTGGTCTGAAACTCCTGACCTCAGGTAATCCACCCACATCAGCCTCCCAAAGTGCTGGGATTAAAGGCGTGAGCCACCGCACCTGACCTAGAACGAGTATTTCTATTTATTTATTTTTGAGACGGAGTTTCGCTCTTGTCGCCCCGACTGGAGTGCAATGGCGCGATCTCAGCTCACCACGACCTCTTCCTCCTGGGTTCAAGCAGTTCTCCTGCCTCAGCTCCCCAAGTAGCTGGGATTACAGGCGTGCGCCACCACGCCCGGCTAATTTTTTGTATTTTTAGTAGAGACAGGGTTTCTCCATTTTGGCCAGACTGGTCTCAAACTCCCCACCTCAGGTGATCCGCCTGCCTCAGCCTCCCAAAGTGCTGGGATTACAGGTGTAAGCCACCGCGCCCGGCCAGAACAAATATTTTTAAACATTAGAAACTGGTCACATTGCCTCTTCTGGCAGCAAACCAAAAATCCCCTCTTCCAGCAGATCTCAGTCCTCCATGGGAAGAAGTCCAAAGTCCTCACGGTCGCCAGCCAGACCTAGCACGGTGTCAGCCCTGCTGCCCATTCCCTTTTGCTCTTCCCAGAAAGTGGCTGTGGCTGGTGCAGCAGGTGAACCCATCCTGCTCCCCTCCACACACATCATCCCTACGGCCTGAAATGCTCCTCCTCTAACCCCTCTCTCATCCAACCTACCCCTGCCACTGCTGAGCTCCCACGGGGCACGCTGAATGCTGTGGAGGCTGCTCCCTACCTAGCATGACCGCTGTGTTCACAGATAAGCCTCCAGTAGGAAACACGGTCGCCAGCCAGACCTAGCACGGTGTCAGCCCCTTGCTGCCCATTCCCTTGCTCTTCCCAGAAAGTGGCTGTGGCTGGTGCAGCAGGTGAACCCATCCTGCTCCCCTCCACACACATCATCCCTACGGCCTGAAATGCTCCTCCTCTAACCCCTCTCTCATCCAACCTACCCCTGCCACTGCTGAGCTCCCACGGGGCACGCTGAATGCTGTGGAGGCTGCTCCCCTACCTTAGCATGACCGCTGTGTTCACAGATAAGCCCAGTAGGAAACTGTGACTCTGTGGGTCTGGTGTGGGCCCTGAGTCTGTTTCACCCATCTTCCCAGGTGACCAGAGCCAGACCTGGATGCCCAGTTTTGTGCCCTTCTCAACAAGTACCTTCTCCCCCAGAGCTGGGTTTTTTCTTGCAAATAATAGCTAGCTACAGAGATTCAAGGACAGCATGTTGGTAAACCACCCAGCTGGGCCTCCTGCTCACAGCAAGCACCCAATGGCACCTACTGTTACCCCACATGGGTTATTTCCTCACTCCAGGAGGAGCTGAGGTGAAGAGAGCTGCCCACGAGCATGTGAATGGGGGAACCCTACATGCCCAGGGCAGCAGTGGTGGCGGTGCCCACCCCCAGGGTGTGCAGGAGGTAAATCCGGGAGCGGCTGAGGGGGAGGTAAAGTGGGGAGGTGAAGGGGCCACAGGGAGGCTGGAGGAGTGGCAAGCTCCCGAGTCTGACCTTCTGCATCAGTAGCAGCTGGACGGCGTTGGTGAAGGGTGGAGGGCAGGCCTGCAGGCTGAGGGCTCGGAAGAACAGGAGATAGGAGAAGGTCCAGGCCAGAGCCAGGGCGTGCAGAGCTGGGCAAAAAGCAGTGAGGTGCGTTGTGTTGGGCACAGAAGTCTCAACTCTTGGCCACCCACTCCCTGAGTCCAGCCACCAATCCTCCCCCAACTCTCCCCATTCATTCAGAGACAGAAACACAGAAGGGCAGAGAGAGAGGACTGAGGGTGGCTTAGGGATGGAATGAGTATGATTGAAATGGGGAGAAGAGGCTCAGCCACACAGAAACACACAGCAACAGAGAATAATGAGGTTCAGAGAAGCTTCAGGTGAAGACCCTGCAATCCTCCGCTTTTTCTTTATTTCCAAGGTCCAGGGCTCAAGAAGAGGGGGGTGGATATGAATGAATGTGAATGGTGGCAGGGGCTAGCAGAACACCACCCACCTCTCTCCATGACATGGATGTAGCGAACTGGGACAAACACACAGGGACCAGATGCAGAAGTGGGGGAGGAAGAAAAGCAGATGAAGAGGCTGGATATGGTGGCTCACGCCCGTAATTCCAGCACTTTGGGAGGCTGAGACAGGCAGATCACAAGGCCAGGAGTTCGAAACCAGCCTGACCAACATGGAGAAACCCCATCTCTACTAAAAATACAAAATTAGCCAGGCATGGTGGTTCATGCCTGTAATCCCAGCTACTCGGGAGGCTGGGGCAAGAGAATCGCTTGAATCCGGGATGGTGGAGGTTAAGCAGTGAGCTGAGATCGCACCATTGAACTCCAGCCTGGGCACAAGAGGGAAACTCCATCTCAAAAAGAAAGAAAGAAAAAACCCCCACGAAACAGAGAAAGGAGCTGATCAACAAGAGACAGCCAGACAGCCAGAGATGAGGCAGAAGCTGAGAAAGACCCAAAGAGGAAACAGGTTACTCCCTGTTCTCCTCTCCTCCCCTCCTCCTCCACCAAATTCTCACCAGGGCTGGCCTGAATGAGGGCCTAGGTCCTGCTGATGGTGATCAGAGAATGCAAAGTGTGGGGCCACAGAACAGGGTGAGCCCCAGGCCCACAAAGCAGCTGCCTCCCACCTCTGCAAGCCCAAGACCTGCAGGAAAGGGACAGCATGGGCCTGAACCTTCCAGAGGGTCCCCCTTTATTTTCCACTGCGAGGGAGTTTCGACTCACCGGCTTTAAAGAGGAAGCCGGGCGGATGGAGATAAGAAGCTGAACCACTAGATACGTCCATTCTTCAGGCGACATGGTCTGGGGGAGGGGCAGAGATTCACAGTGAGAACCCAGGCCCAGGCCCCCTGCCTCTCGCTCTTCGAGGATCCAGGAACCCAGCCCTCTAGACCCCTGCTTTGAGGATGATGGAGTCCGAGACTCAGCTCCTCTCCTTTGAGAACCTAGGGAACTCCGGACTCCAGCCCCTTCCCTCCCTTGAGACAGGAATCCACCCCCAGCCCCTCTCCTATGAGCTACGTGGCCTCCAGCTCTTCTCTCCTTTGAGAACCCAGGAAAGCGTGGGGATCTCGCAGCACCCAGGCGCCTCCTTTGCGAAGGCAGAAATCAAAGTTACTCCCCGCACCCATACTGGGGACCCAGATTAGAAGACGCCCCTCTTTTAAAAACCCAGAAACAGCACCCCTCCCAGACCCTTCCTCTTCCACAGCCCAGGAATCTAGACCTCCGAGACCCCTCTTTCAGCGAGGATCCAGGAACCCAGATCCCCTCTTTGGACCCCCATCCCCCTGCCCTTGTGAAACCAGATATCCAGACCCCCAAGCCCTTCTCCTTTGCGAGCACCCAGAGGAGCCCGGGCCTCTAGCCTCCACCTCCTTCGGTGCTCCAGACCCCTCTCCTACGGAGAACCCGGGGACGGACACCCTTCCCTCCCCAGGCCCAGGCCCAGCCCCAACCTGTCCTGCGCACCCCAGCGTGGGTCGGATCCAATCCCCGGCAGATCCACAGGCGGTTGCGCCAGCTCGGAGCTCTAACGCGCCTCCGGGGCCGCCCCGCACCCACCAGCCTGCAGAGACCCTGCCGCCGTGTAACCTTGCCTTGCCACTGGGCGCCGCCACCCCGGCCCACCTGAGCTGCTCGCCGGGCAGGAGGCGGCCGAGCAGTCCCAGCCCGCGGGCAGCTGCGGCTCCGGCCACGCCTCCCCCGCCCAGCGCGCCCCCGCGCCGCCTGCTCCTTCTGGGCGCCCGCTGGGCCGCGCGGATCCGGGCAGGGATGAGGCCATGGTCAGGGTCCCGGGAGGGCAGGGAAGGAGCCCCAGAGCAGGCGACCGGAGCTTGAGTCGGCAACGGGCCAGGAGATCAAGACCATCCTGGCCTATATGTTGAAACCCCGTCTCTACTACAAATACAAAGATTAGCTGGGCTTGGTGGCACGTGCCTATAATCGAGCTACTCAGGAGGCTGAGGCAGGAGAATCACTTGAACCTGGAGACGGAGGTTACAGTGAGCCAAGATGACACCACTGCAATCCAGCCTGGCAACAAAGTGAGACTCTGTCTCAAAAAAATAAAAAAAAGAGAATGTAGAAATGATGCTGGGGAAGTAAATACGTTTCATCTCACAAACACATACAATCCATGAATTGTGATGCCTGGGACTCAGGTTGCCAAGGCTTTAAGGCCATATTGCGGTTCAACTGTAAAGTCCTCAAGATCAACTGGTAATTTCTGCCATGGACACAGGAAGGGACAATGGGGATGACACATGCAGTATAGTAGTCATGGGGAAAAAAACAAGAATTAAGAATGATGAAAGTTTACTTTTAGGGCGAAAGATGCAGTGCTGATTCCTTTTATTTGTTTTTATTTTTTATTTTTTTTGAGACAGGGTCTCACTCTATTGCCCAGGCTGGAGTGCAATGGCGTGATCTTGGCTCACTGAAGCTTCTGCCTCCCAAGTTCAAGCCATTCTCCTGCCTCAGCCTCCCAAGTAGCTGGGATTACAAGTGTGCACAACCACACCCAGATAATTTTTGTATTTTTACTAGAGACAAGATTTTACCATGTTAGCCAAGCTGGTCTCAAACTCCTGGCCTCAGTTGATCCACCTACCTCTGCCTCCCAAAGTGCTGGGATTACAGTCATAAGCCACCATGCCCAGCCTGATTCCTTTTAAATTTTGCTCCATAAAGAACAAATAAATAATTCTCTGATATCATAACTCAAGAGTTCAGAAATGTAACTGATAGTAATCAAATGACTTCTCTGTAGCTCCACATCTAGCATAATGATGTAATGCTGAGATCTCAGTTCTTGAAACAGTCACATGCAACTTGAGAACGCTGATCTGAGTTCATATGTAACTTCAGTTCTCTTAATAAAAAGGTATTCAGAAGTTCTCATTAACTGGCTGATGAAAATGTTCATGGTTCTCTGTGCCAATTTAAACAATAAATATTTATTTTTACTGAGTCCAAATTGCAAAAGAAAGGAAAGGATAGGAATGGAACCCCGAGAGGAGGAGCTGATGGTCTGGAATAGGTCCAGAAGTTCCTACTTAAAAAAGATTTTCCATATGCTCTACACCAGTTAGATTCATCCAGTTGAAAATTCAAAAGCCCTCAGAGAGAGTCAAACCTCATTCCAGGCAGTTGTTTGCTGATGTCAGCACTCAGAGAAGAGGAATTTTGATTGGGCAAAGAAATAAGAAAGGCTTCAAAGTCACTTGGCCACCTTTGCCGCCACTGTTCTCCATTCCTCTCATTCCCCTACATGCTAAGCATGCCTTGCTTCCTTGACACTTGATGCTCTCACAAGCTTCCACATTGTGACCCGTACGTTTCCCTCTGCCTGGAACTGTCTTCTCTACCAACAATTTCTATTCACTTAACTTCTCAGTAAAGTCTTGCCCGATTCCCCCAAACATGAAGGACAGTTAAGAAGAATACTCACTTCGTTTTCCCCTAAAGACTTTTCACACTGTTTCCCAGGTCCTTTCTTGATGTCTTTGTTACCTCCTCATCACAGTTGGAATAACACAAGTAGATTATGTGCAAGGAACACTTAGCCCTCCCTTGAGGGCGCAAGTCACTCGAGAGCAAGAGCATGTCCTCATCCTCATTTCCTCACGATGCTTGGTGTGGTTTAGTGCAATAATCATAGACTCTCTTGCTGTGTGGGCACTCTAAAATACATTCTCAGCAAATGCAAAGAGCCAGCTGTGGTTTGGTTTTTCTGCAATACAAGAAATCACAAGAGTGACAAATTTAACTGTATGGGGAAAAAACTTTGAAAAATAAAATAGCACAAATTTAAAAGGAAAGCCTTTTTTTTTTTTTTTTTTTTTTTTTTGAGATGGAGTCTTCCTCTGTCGCCCAGGCTGGAATGCAGTGGCCCGATCTCAGCTCACTGCAAGCTCCGCCTCTTGGGTTCATGCCATTCTCCTGCCTCAGCCTTCTGAGTAGCTGGGACTACAGGCATCCACCACCACATCCAGCTAATTTTTTGTATTTTTAGTAGAGATGGCGTTTCACTGTGTTAGCCAGGATGGTCTCGATCTCCTGATCTCATGATCCACCTGCCTCGGCCTCCCAAAGTGCTGCGATTACAGGCGTGAGGCACTGCGCCGGGCCTAAGGAAAATCATTTTTAAGTATTTATGATACACTCAATTTTAAAAATAAAGATTGGTCAAATAAGTAGATATGCAGGCAATTTACAGAGTAAATAGAAGTTTCAAGACAAGTATATAAGACAATTCAGGTTATGTGATATAGCTATTAAAATTAGGATTACATAGACTGATAGGATGTTATACATACATATAAATTTTTTTTGAGACGAAGTCTTACTCCGTCACCAGGCCCGAGTGCAGTGGCGCGATCTCAGCTCATTGCAACCTCCACCTCCCAGGTTCAAGCAATTCTCCTACCTCAGCCTTCCGAGTAGCTGGGAGTACAGGCGTGTGGCACCATGCCTGGCTAATTTTTGTATTTTTCATAGAGACAGGGTTTCATCATGTTGGCCAGGATGGTCTCAAACTCCCGACCTCAAGTGATCTGCCCGCCTCTGCCTCCCAAATTGCTGGGATTACAGGCATGAGCCACTACACCTGCCCTGATAGAATATTTTTATGAAGTGATGTTAAGGGAAAAACTACATCAGTGTATTTGATCCATCAATTTATTTATTGACACCATAGATAGAATTTACTCATGAACAATGGACATGTTATAAAAGTACATAATAAAATAAAATAAAAATAAAAATAAAATAAAAATAAAAACAGAGGTGCATTTTTATTTAGAAGAATGATATCATGGGTTATTAATTGCTTCTTTGTTACTGTTGTTCATATAATAAATAAAATTGGGGAGAAGGAACACATAGTGAAAAATCTCACTAAATGAATTATCAGTTAATCATATCTGTGGTTTGGGCTCTTAGTTGAACCTTGTAAGGAAGGTATTTCTTTCCACTGGGGTCAACTTACCTTAATTTTTTGAATTTTAAATTCTTACCTATTTTTAAAAGAGATAAAAATTCTCTGGAAAAGGATTTTCACTTCCAGCAAGGAGAGACCTGCTTAAAACTGGATAATAGTAAGGAAAATAAAACCTGTTCAAAGCTGTGCAAGAACCATCTGGACAGTGAACCTGAGGGGCCAAGATCCCAGAGAGGAGGGAGACACAGACTAGGAAGCCTGGTGGAGGCACCACTCTTGCTCTTGTCAACTCTAAGGCAACAGCTGAGAGACTGGGCACCCGGCACTGCACAGAAATCTGTGAAGAAACAGCTGAGAAGCTGGGTAGAGTTTACTGCAGTCTCATACAGCTGGGAAGAGTAAATATTCAGGACCACCAGGAAGAAAGGGCCATGCATGGTAAACACTCAGGATTTCATTTGAAGTTCCTAAAGAACTGAGACTCTAGGAATAAAGGAGACTTGGAAATAGGCTAGCACTCACCAAGACAAGAGCCCAGCCTTGCCTCATGGTAAAAGACGCTAACACGCTTCTTTTAGTAGTACTGATAGAATAAGTAGACAAAAGACAAGTAACAATATGGGAAGATTTTAACAAACGTGATCTGATTATACACACACTTTATCTAATAAATGCAGAATGCACATTCTTTTTTAAATTTTCATTTTAGATTCAGGGGGTACATGTGCAGGTGTGTTACAAGGGTATATACTTATGCAGTACTGATCTCATCACCCAGATACTGAACATAGTACCTGATAGAAAGTTCTTCAGTCTTTGCCCCACTTCCCTACCTCCCCTCTTTTGGAGTCTCCAGTGTCTGTTGTTCCCATCTTTGTGTTCATGTGTACCCAATGTTTAGCTCCCACTTATAAGCGAGAGCATGTGAAATTTGGTCTTCTGTTTCTATGTTAATTTGCCTAGGATAATGACCTCTAGCTGCATCCATGCTGCTGCAAAACACATAATCTCATTCTTTTGCATGGCTGCTTAGTATTCCATGGTGTATATCTACCACATTCTCTTTATCCAATCCACTGCTGATGAGCACCTAGGTTGATTTCATGTCTTTGCTATTGTCTATAGCAAATCCACATTCTTTTCAGGTGAACATGGGAACACTTTTCCAAAATTGACCATATAATGCTGGTTCAGAAACAATGTTATTTTTGAGACAGAGTCTTGCTGTGTTGCCCAAGCTGGAGTGCAGTGGTGCAATCTTGACTCACTGCAGCCTCTGCTTCCTGAGTTCCAGTGATTCTCATGCCTCAGCCTCCCAAGTAGCTGGGATTACAGGTGCACGTCACCATGCCTGGCTAATTTTTGTATTTTTAGTAGAGACGGAGATCCACCATGTTGGCCAGGCTGGTCTCAAACTCCTGACCTCAAGTGATCTGACCACCAAGTCCTCCCAAAGTGCTGGGATTACAAACATGAGCCACCGCACCCGGTAGGTTCAAAAATTAAGTCTCAACAAATTCCAGCATTTGGGGGGTGTGTTTTTTGTTTTTTGTTTTTTGTTTTTGTTTTTGTTTTGAGATAGAGTCTTACCCTGGCACCCAGGCTGGAATGCCGTGGTATAGTCAGGGCTCACTGCAGCCTCAACCTCCCACGTTCAAGCAATCTTCCCACCT